GTATAATAAATTGTTCACATGTAGATGGAAATAAGTTAACGGGTGTTGCAATGTACGATGAAAGAAATAGTTGCTGTTCGGGACTAAACTAAAATGGATGGTTTTACTTTATACATACGTGTATTTGTAATAATAATTTGTTTCGTTTCGAATCTGATTAAAGTTCAATAACCTGAGTTTCGAATTCCGTAACATGTTTCACTATGAGCGAAAGATCGGTTGATCGACAGACGAATAGATCTGCTGCCGACGAATGCATGTACAAAAGTCAGTGTATACCATTGCCAAGATTGAGAAACGACCCTTCTCTCGTGCATCATTCGTCTTCCATGCGCACGAACCAAGAGAGTTCGTAATCTTCTCTGTGTCCCTGTAATTCCTGATCGTTGTCTTTTGGAATATTTTTTTTTTATTCTTTCTTTCTTACAATGACAACTTTCCTTCCCGCCATGGTAGATGCAAAGCGAATTCGTCACCACGGGTGTGCTCCTGTGAAATTCAACGCTGACTTCGTGACACTCGACCACCAACGCGCTTTATGTCCCAGTGGAATACTAATTGCGGCAATTTAGAACGGTGGATGTTGCTAATTAGAAATTAAGATAGTCGAGTCATTCTGTGTTTTACAATTACCTTGTAACGCGGTTACCGGAATGAACAATTGAGCATAGTCTAAACTTTCTCTCTTTGGCTCTCTCCGCTCGTAACTCTGAATAATATTCAATCAAACAGTAAATTCCAAAAAAAAAAAAAACAAAAAAATTCATCTTATTATCGAAACAGAAAACTTACGTACTTCCTTTCCTTCGTTGATCGAACAAATAAGAATTACGTCGCCATGAATTACATGCACCACGAAGCAAAATAAATCGAATCGAGACGAATAACTTCGATAATCGACGACTAACTGCTAATTGTCATTGCATAACGCATTAAGGTTACCACTATTAATTAGAAAATCCGATATTCGTATCTATCGATGTTCGATTCAACTCGCAATTGGTCGTTTAATGCCATTAAATGTGTGCTGCAACTCTTACGACTTCTCTACAACAAAATAAAATTTACGGGATTTAAATAAATGTGCGCGGGTATACGCGAGGGGCGTCGTTACGCAATGTACGTGCATTACGGATACACTTGAGGGAACCGAGAGAAACTCATTAGTTTCATCATTCCTGTCGGTGGTGTACGCTCGGCTACGACGCAACCCGTGCATGTATACATATACATGGGTCGTCGCTCTTCTAATTGCATATACAACGGGGCTCGTTCAAATCAAGTTTCCGTCGAGCACGACTTTCTATCCTCGGGCATGTTGCACGAGTCGTTTGGATAAACGAATCGTAACCCTTCGTACCACGCTTTTAGCGACTCGTTATCGACGCGGGTATCGATTATCTTTTTGCTCGTTGAATTCCACATCGATCGAGCCGGTGCTTTGCTTGGGGAGCTTCTTATTTGCCGGCTGAAATTCTAACGAACCGTAACGAGAAAATAGTTTCGTAGAACATTGCGGTTAAGATTTTATACAGTGGTAAGTTTGACAGAGATTAATAGAAATAAATACGAAATGAATCGAAGAAAAAGGAAGAAAGAGAGAGAGAGAGAGAAAAAAGATTTGGTTAATTAGCTAATTTTAAAGTGAACGAACAACAGGCTGAGCGTACTTTGAGTTCGTCTACATAAATGAATATTTAATTCCCGATAAGAAGCGAGTCGAATGAACCCACGACGCGTTGTTGTTTTACTTTCAACAAATAAACAAGTTTATCTTGAGAGTTACAAGTAACCAGCACGTGTATCTCGTTAGATATATCCGATGTCTCGGCCGGTTAGATACATATATCTAACGTCAGTAAGTTAAAGGTTAAGCTTCATCGAAAGCGTGTTATATACCATAGTGTGCGTCGCTAAAAGCTTTTATCGAAGAGATACGAATACGAAGTATATTCGCCTCGATCGTGGCCGAAGAAATCGGACAGTTTTACGAGCGCAAAACATACTAGAGAGAACGTTCGTCAAGCCTTTCAGACGTGTCTACCCTTTTTACCCGCGACATTGCAAATTATATTTTTTTCCCTTTCTCTCTCTTTATTCGATTCGCGAAAAACAAGAGCAAGCGTTTATATAAATTATAGATAATCAATAACGCTGTCACATTGAGGCCGATTCTGGAATCTGGAAAGAATAATCCTTTTAAAATATATATCTTATTTTGAAATAAAAAGAAAAGGAAAGAAAAGACTTACTTTGGTTAGTTGGGAACGAGCTTCTGGAAATTTTGAGTCCATTTCGTAAAATATCCCTTGTAGCAAAGAGTGTGGGATGAAAATAATATAGGGAATCGAAGAACATCGATTTACTTTCATGCTTCTCGAACCTGTAATCGTTTAGCAACCGAAGAAAAAATGTAAAACAAAGAAATACGAGCAACATGGTCGGAGAATGAGGGAGACAGGGGGTAGAACCCGTCGGGAAATAATTAATATGCCATGGACGCATAACGAACGACCCCGCGAAGCAGTCTGTTTGTTTTCGGACGGGTCTTCTTCGACTCCAGGCATGTCGGCCGTATCTCTCTTTTGCCCGGGCCTTCTCGACCTCCCGCTGCTTCCCCTTTTCCCTTTTTATTTTAAACGCACACGAGGCCCTTCTCCGCAGCTCCCTATTTCTTTCCCTTTCTCTCCCTTCCTCCACGAAATACAGTCTTTCTCTCTTGTCTCTTCTTACCCGTTACTTCACCGCTCTTGAAAAAAAAAAGAAAGAAAAGAAAGAAAGAAAGAAATGAAATTTCAAATTACATACCTCATAGTAAAAAAAGACACGATCATTTTAAAAAAAGGAATCTTTATAGAGTCGTTCGAGAGAGATAACGATACTTTGCATCTAATTGAAATTTCTATAAGAAGTTTATGTAAGAGAACTGCAAGAGAGAAGTTTTCTTAAAAACTCTCTTACGAGTCTTCTCTGTCGCTCTGAAAGGCTCGTGAGACCCGACCAACTGAGCGAACAGCGGCTCAGCAGCGGTTGCACACACAACGAGAGGCCGCATGCCTCTCTCCATATATTCTCTCTACTTTAATCTTTCTTTTGTGACTCGGCTGTTTTAACGTTTTTTATTCCCCGATGAGCTGGGCCTCGTGGACGAAACAGAGAGGAAGATGCGCGGTGAAGGAAGAGAAAACGAAAGGGTGAAGGGGAGAAAAAGAAAGAAGATTAAGAGAAAGAGAGGGAGAGAGTACCGCTACGAGCTTATTAGCAAGAAGTAAGGAGAAAGAGGAGGACGCAAGAAGTTTTGTCGAGGGAGAAAGGATCGTTTAATGTGAAGGAGGGGAAGAGGGGATTCAGGGGTAGACGGAGCAATATCTTGAATAAAGACGATCTCGCATTACCATAATAAACAAGTGTGCTGCGGCTAATCGTTGCAAAACCAATGTTCTTTGTTTCCCTGACGAAAGGGTCTGACACGCTTCGTAATTTCAAAGTTCCATCTTGATCGATTCATCGCATCTCTTTGCGGTTCGATGACAAAAGGCTAAAAGAATGGTCGAACAACAATTGCCACGAGAATTTCATGAGAATTATCGAGATGATGGTTCGATCGTGCTAATGAATTATTCTATCCCGTGAAATTTTGTTGCGGTGAAATCAACGTGGCGAATCTATGTACAGTAAAATAAATTATATTCCATTGGGTGAAAGAATTAACGCTAAAGGAGAGTCTGAAAGAAGGCTAAACTGGCAAGAATAAAGTTACGGATAAAGATGGCTTCGCATTATCATAATATACAAGCGGTACGATGGTTAGTCACTGCGAAATACTCCATGTCTCTCAGTTTATTTCATGCAGCTCTCATTAACACACTGCGAGAGAGAACTCTACTCTCTACGTATAATGTATATTTACGCTATGTCAAGCACGGTCCCAGTGTATCGAGCCTGTTTCCTCGAGGTAGATTTCTTCCAGACCCCCCCAGTTGAAATCCCTTTCAAGCAGAAGATCTCAAACATTTCTTTCTTCAACCAAAATTTTTCACCTCTGTATCATTTATTTTGAAAAATTTGGTTCGATAAACGTGCTGCTAAGAAATGTATATACACTTTGCTCCAATTTTTATTTTCCTAAAATTATATTTTTTTATTATTATATATCCAAAGAAAATTATAAGTCTCTTTAAACGAATAATAAATAAACGAAGGAATAAACGAAGAAAGGCTTGGTAGCCGGCAGGTAAATGAAAGTATATATAGCTTTTATATGTATACCTGTTGCAACGAGCAGGGTATAATCTTTTATGACTTTAGTCGGGTATTCATTAAGGGAAGCCGCCAATTATATCAACGCTGTTACATTTAGGGTGCTTGAATGCTTGAACATGCTTAACGATCCTAGAATTATATTGCACCAATTGTTTTATCAAGTACAGATCTATAAACAAAGATGAATTTATAATTAATTAGTAAACCGAGTAATATATTACCTGAATCTTGTATTAATTTGTTGATTAAATCTCATCGCATTTGAAACATTTGAACGGAGGCGAATACAAGGGAACGTATAATGTAGATGACCCGCGATGTAACATCATTAGTCAGAATGATTCATTTATCAATCATAACTGTCATTATCTAAAACATATGAAAAAAAATGAAAAAGAAAAAAAGATTTTCCTCGAAAGAATGTCTTGCTATCTTTATCGCACTTTTAGTATTATTCCAATTCAGAGAAGAATTATTCTCTGACCTCAAAGTTCTCTCCCTCTGTTCGAGGATTTCGAATTTCGATAACATTAAAGATAATTTATAACGTTGATCTTGTAATATTATTTTTATCTCATGTACACGTTATTCTTTTGTATTGTGAACTTGATATCCTTGCATACAATTTTATTCCTTTCGCTGGTTTTAATTTTATTAAATCTTACGATTTAAATTCCATTTGTAATAAGAAAAATTAATTAATCTTATTATATTTATTTTACTTTTTTCATTTGCAGATTCGCCGCACATCCGAGAAGTGAGGTGTTACTGCAATCAACCAGAATGCGTACCTCAAGGATACATGTGCCGCGGCAAAGGCTGTTTTACAGAATTACCATCCAATGCAAATCCATCATTATTAAGAGCAGAGCATAACGCTTACAGTGGTTGTCTAGATGAAAACTTCAAAGAACGGCAATGTCCCACGGGATATCTTTGTTGCGAGCAAGATCTTTGCAATCACGTAGATAGTCCAGCCATGAGAAACAGGCTCAACAAGACTCTTCAAGGTTAAATGATTATTCTCATTTTAATATCATTAAAATTGCATAGATTTAATACAATGCTATCGAGCGCTATTTTCATTTTGTTGTTGCATTTCATCGTTTATTTTGTTATTTACATTGCAAAATTGCTTTTTAACGCTATTAATTTTTAATTCGATTGATCAAATTTTTTTACATAAATTATGAAGAATTTTTTTTACTTGTTCCATATACATATAGATACAAGTTAAAGAAGTATACATATACTATACAAACTTCTATTACGTATACATATATGTCTCGAATCATTGATTTAAAACAATAGCGAAAGTTGAAGGTTGTATGAATTTATGAATAATGATACCTTTTACATAATTTATTTCAAACAAGCTCGTGTATAACGAAAGACTTTTTATTATTAACAGTGTTGGTGGGTGATCAGCGACCTTTTCTCGGCCCGGTTCAACCGATCAATCATGGAGGTCAGTCAACAGATGGATGGTTCAAGACTGCCACAATCGCTGTACCGATTTGCGGTCTAATCGTCCTACTGATACTGGCCAGTCTTGCCATTAGATTACTTCAGCCTGTGCCGACGCAAAGCGACAAACTTGGACCACATCGGATGCCCGATAATGGACCGCCATTATTAGGCCCACCAAAAGTGCCTCTTGTTTAATTAATCTTGCAATCCCAAAGACGTTCGATAAAGCGGATAGACATTAGTAAGACTAATTAGAAAGCTAGCGGGCTTATATAGCTCCACTTGGCTGTGAATTTTGTGAAAAAGAAGCGACTGCTATAAATTATAACATTGCGTGTTGTGCATCGATAGTTGCAATTCCTCGAAACGACGATGATCGTCACAAGATTGAAGAGTGAGAAAAGGCCAATGAGATAGGACCTTTGTACATGACGTTAATTAAAAGAAAAAGAAAAAAAAAAAAAAGAAAGAAAAAAAAATGAAATGCATGATATCGCCTTTATTACAGCATTGTAAATAGATTATGTATTTTATATCGTGTATTAGATGATATCGCTTATTTAGGCGGCGTACAAATTGTAATGTAATCGCGACTTACGATATCGTCGAATTTCCTAGATCGAAAAATAAATCTAGCCGCAAAATCATAATAATGTTACGATATAATCTCAAGGGATATACATATAATCCTGCAATAAGAAAAAAATATCTTTTCCATCGAGGAATAATATCGATAAAAAATGAATGAAGAACACAAAGTCTGATTGTTTTCTTTTTAATCGTATAAGATATCTTTTTTTGAAATTCTATTATTCTGGTACATCATGTACTCATCATATAGTAATTATATTCCATATAAATATTATATTGTGATAGTATGACATAACTCTGTGTATGATAATTATATTATTAAGTATGTACCACGACATTGTTTTACAACATGTGTTACTCATGAGGGATAAATCGATGCGAAAATCGACTTAAAATATATTGAAATAATTTTTCAGTAATCGGTCTCTATTTATTTTCTCCTTTTATCAATTACATACACGTACTATATCGATACCCGATATATAGGAAGGGTATGTCATTATTCCGTAAAATAGGTAATCTATTTGATCAGCTCAGAAAATTTGTTTTGTTTCGTTTCGAAATAATAACCATAAAATGTTAGTATAATATAAATGTTTTGGCATCACAGTTTAAAATCGTACAATTTTCACATTCCTCGTCTCGTTACAATTTCCATTTGTCTCATACCTTGTTACACATTCACGATCCATGTCACTTCCTTTTATGGGAAAAAGTGTATTAGCTTATAAAAATACTGCTTAAGGTATGTATCTTTATTTGTATCTACGATTTGATCTTCCCAAAAAATGGGACATCAGTCACGTTTAATTGAAATTCGAGCAGGACATTGTGTTCCATCTATGTACATGTAACACAGAGATACTATAGGTTTTGCTCGATGTTATCAGTCGGCCGTCATAACCCGCATGACGGGTTTCAGCTACATCAGTTAACAAGTCATTGTTCTAGGATAGTATTTCACCAAATGATTTAACGTAAGCTTCGTGAAGTTTGTTAATAAAATCTGGATCACTCCTCAACAAATAATTAAAAGCTCGAAGAAATTGATTTTTTGTCAGTGGTTCTAATGGTCTAGTTAAAGGTTCAGGTGGACTAGGAGCAGCAAACATTACAGGAGGAATTAAAGCTGGTGCTGATCCTCTTCCCGATAAAGTAGGAGCCGTAATGATATCTTCTGATGCCTAATTAAATTAAAACCATATTTTCAGATTTTGCATATTGATACTTATATAAAAATATCAATATGAATTGATGTACACGTCTACTTACCGTTGTCGCAGATGCATTAGCAAATAAAGATGCGAGTGGATTTGAGTTACTAGAGCCAATAATATCTGAGGCTTGATGATTTGTTGAAGTAGAAGATGATGCATTAGTGGGTGATTGTATCCTAAGAAATCCTGTAGTACCATTTGTATCAGTAGTACTTTGATTTATAGATGGTAAAATTTCTTGAGTTAGAGATGCAGGTGTAGATATCATTGAATCTTGTTGAGATGCAGTCCTACTTCGTTTTTTAGTTCTGTTTGAAGCATTAGTATTACTAGCATTATTAGCAGTTATTATAGCAGTTGGAGTTGTTTGAGATTGTTGTTGAGTAGCTGGCTGAGGAGTTATAGATCTATGTTGTTTTTCAATATGTTCGACTGTATGAGCTGTTAGATGTGACATTAATCGAGCAAGAATAGGATTACTTTCATTTGTAATAGTCCCTCCTGAAGTGGGTTGATCTCCAGCTTTAAAATGTCCGGTATTAACCTGAAAAGATATTAAAAATTAATATATATTCTATCTTTTATTTTGAAATCATAAATATGATTGATCGCCTACTTTTGCCTTTGCAAAAAAATCCATTACACTCTGTGAAGTAACATCTGGACCTAATGGTGCAGCTAGTGGTCCAGACACATCATCTGCTGCAGGAGTACTTAAAGGAGACTTAGTATTAAGTACTTCTTTAATACCTCCACTTCCACTGCTACTGTTATTTCTATTAGTATTAAAATCTTCTTGAGCTTTACTAAGCATACTGAATATATCAACATTATTCACATTAGGACCACTATCCTTTTTCACATTAACAGTAGGTTTATTATAAGTCTTGCGATTTTCCTCTGATTCTTTGATAAGTTTATTTAACATTGCACCAATGCGTACACATTCCTCTTTATCATAAAACCAAATACCATAAATGTTGCATCTAGAATTTCTATAGAGTAAAAAGGGTTCTTGAAGTTGTAAATCCAAACCCTGTGTAACTGGTTCTACTAAATTATTTGTATTTAATCTGCAAGAATATAATTTATATAATGAATAAATTTAGTTATAATGAATATAATATAATGAATATAATAATGAATAGATTTAGTTATAATTTATAATTAATTTATTTCATTAATAAACAATTAAAAATAATTTTTCCATATAAGAAAATTATAACAAATATTAAAATATTTAATATTTTAATTAAAATATATTTTTTGAAATATTATCTTTATATAAATACCACAAAATACGAAGAATACCAGTGAATAATATGATTTATATATCTATATAATTCATTATATATATTTATGTTATTCATTAGTCTTTGAACGTTTTTAAAATATTCAAAAAATATAGACAAACATTTATACATACAAGTATATGTGTATGCATATATGTGTTATGTATGTATATACGTTACCTATTCATGATCAGAACACTGTTATAGGGCTCGCCATTTCGTGAATATACAAATAAAGCACCTTCAATGTTAGTTTTTTCCCACTCATTATTAATTGCGTTAAAAGTATAAAGTGCTACGTGTGTTGCAGTCTCTAGAATATCTTTTACATAGGGGTCTACTCGTTTCAGAGCGGCCACGTTCATTCGTAACCCTGTTAAGTCCGTCATCGTGTTTCTACAGTTTTTTACAAGTAGTCTATATCTTATGAGATATAAGAATAATCACTCTTTTTCTAATTCAACTGAAATTTAGTTTAACCGTTTGAGCCGATCACTAAAAGCACTATATTTTAATATAACGCAAGTAGCTGCTTGTATAATAAACGTCATACTAGATTTTAAGGTTGATACCGTTGTTATATCTGTGAGTTAGTAACATCAGAGAATGTCGACGCTTCCTTTCAGTTTGTTTCAGTCCGTGTTTTTGATTGGTGCAAATTTAACCAATCACGTAGATTGAAATAAACATTCAGTTGTAAATGGAGGATGAAACAATTATATATCCAATCAAATTGTTAGAAATTTTGAAAATATGAGCCAATAATATGACAATAATATAATTATAATGCTTTTCATATATGTTCAAACGTATATAATTGCAAATTACAAGCCCCGGAGAATGTTATTTTTAAGTTTTCACTTTTACGGTAAGTTCCATTAATCCAAAAAAGAGTGATCTAAAAACGAATGGTAATGTTTTTTTTAAATTCTTACTAAACAATAATTCATGTAGCTTAATTAATATTACTTTAGATAGCAGAATGAATTAGCAAATTTCTAATGAATTTTAATATTATTTTTTTGACTTATTCAGAATAAAAATATAGTAATAAAAGAATTAAATATTACATCATTTTTATTTTATTACGTCATTTTTGCAATAAAAAAAGAAAAAAATGACCGCGTGGTTCAGGTTTTGGATACTATAAAAACTGAATATTATGTATTAATATTAATTCGATATAATTGATAATTGATTTTTTTTTTTATAAAAAAATAAGATGATATTTTTATTTTTAGCTATTTTAATCTATAAAAATGATAGATGTACTTATTATTGTATACAGTATGATGTGTACAGTATACTGAATACCGGCATTTTTTGTGACATGTAATTATATACGTATTTATATATTATGTACATCTTTAAAAGATTAAAAAAATAATGTTTTAAATTTATAATTTGCTTCTAAATTTTTAAATAAATAGTTAATATCTTTTTACTAATTGTATTAAAGTGTATGTAATTTAGCTATTAAGAATATTTCTTGATTTTCTCTTATACAGTTGATTTGCTGAAAATTTAAAGTGTATATAAAATAAAATTTTGAGAACATCATGCGTGCTAGTGTAGCGCATGGAAAAATTGGGTCGATGTGCGAAAGATGGCGGCTACTGCGTGGTGTGCGTGAAAAAGATTCGTGCGTAGATTTTGTCTGTAGTTTTTATCAAAACATGACAAAATATGGAAAAATCTATTTACATGTGCACAAGGCTATTATAGGTGGAAGATTCGTAATGTTGATGAATATTCAGATTCTATGTTTCCCATCCGTGTAAAAATCGTTTGTTTACGATAAAGTTTGTATAATACTTCAACGTGAAGTGAAGTGTTGCAAGGGAAAAAGAGACCCTAACATAGACGAGATTGGAGATCAAGTGTAGCCGGACTTCGGCCCGGTAAGAAGATCAGTAGAGATGCTGAAGCAATTGCAGATGGGGATGAGAGCTTTTCTCTTGATGGCCTCCCGAGTGTGGACATGCGTCTTCTTTCTTCTCAAGAAGCAGGTTAGAGCCGTAAGTAGGTGCTTCGCGCCTCTATCAGCTTTTGTCTTCTTTAAGATTTTCATAACATAACATCTTTTATTATATCAATTTTCTAATTAAATAAATTAGTTCTTTTTTTAATTTACAATAATTTTTTATTGATCCTAATAAATATTTATCATTATCATATTGTGATAATACAACGTATTCAATGATGCACTTGTCTACGTTAAAATATTCCATTTGATTATTAAAAAAATTTTTTTTTAACACTGTTATCTTATTTTTTTGTGTCTGATATTAATTTTTATATATAATAAATTTAATTATCCTTATTTTTTTAAAGGCTTGAAAAATTTTAGTAGTTTTATATATTTTTTTATGTTGTATACTATTATTAATTAATATTTTTAATTAGCAAATGATATGCATATTAAATTTGATATGTATTTCTCATATATATATATATATA